ATATGTGTAGTCTTTATTTCAAAATTTAGTTCTCATCTAACTTTTGATCTAGAGATGATCTTTTGATCTTATTTAACACACTAGTAAAGACAAATGTAAAGAATGTTTCTGTGGAAAAAAAAATAACATCATCAGGAAATCTTTTCTGATGCGGATTTACATAATCATTGCACTATTTATGCAAATTTACAGCAGGCCCCATAATCATCAGGAAATTTTTCCACCATAATATTACACTCATAAGTTTTAATATGCAAATGTTGTATATTTGCATAAAAAATTATGTAATATTTACACTGAATGTAATAATTGCATAATTTTTGCATAATATTATGGCCTACTGTAAACTTACATATAATTATGTAAAATCCACAGAAAAAATTTCCTAATGTTACTACTACTAACTTCTGGCATAATAATGGTTGTATATAGTTAAATTATCATCTGTTGTTGATATTGATGGATATTGTTGTCTGTTATTGTTTTATTATTAAAAAATAAAAGACAGCCATACAAGTTTGGTTTGGGATGAAAAAAAAATTTTTCCATCTAAATATTTGACTGTTTCAAAGCTTGTTTTGATTTTCATGATACAAGAAACAATAGACATAAAAAAAATTTGTTTGGCTGTAAGCTTATAAGCTAACAAGCTAACATTTTACCAAAAAAAAGGTTATTTATTAATTATTGTTATTATAAATTATTTCCAAATAAGGAAAAAAAGGATTTTTTTTTAATTTTTTTTTGTATTAGTGGCGCATGATAATCGTCTGAACCTAATATGATTGGTTTTGAGTGCCGATCCAAATAATCGGATGTTTTTTTTGCTAAATTAATTACTGTTGGTAACATTCCTATAAAATATATGATGTTTTAGTATTGAAATTGTAAAAAATTTTTTTTCCAACATCATTATACATACCAGCAAGCTTAGCAGTATGCAATGCTGCGGAATTTTTATTCACGCCAACTTTTACTTTACGATTATAAAGAAAACTACCATCCTATATATTTAGGTAGGAATATTTATAATTAGAATCAATAATAAAATTTGCAATTAAATAAAAATTACATACTATTTCTTCTTTAATATCTGTACAATAGCAAGCTGCATTTTTAAAATTCTTTATCATTTCTGGTAATTCATGAAAATGGGTTGCAAATAATGTTCTGCATCGATTTTCATTGTATAAATGATGCAAAGTAGCATATGAAATTGCTATTCCATCTAACGTAGTTGTCCCACGGCCAACCTCATCCATTATAACCTAACAACAACAATTATTATTATTGTTATAATCACAAATGATGAAAAATTATTATTTTTTTTGAAATTTATCAATATAAAGCATATTATTGGTATCCTTCACTTACAAAAGATTTAGATGTAGCATGTTTTAATATATTGGAGGCCTCCTTCATTTCAACCATAAATGTTGATTCACCTTTGTATAAATTATCTGAAGTCCCGACCTAAAAAATCAATCAATCTAGACTTTAATAAAATCCCAGATTATTTTTTTCAAGTTTTACAAAAAAAACATACTCTACTAAATATCTTATCAACTATTCCAATCTCAGCGTGATCAGCTGGGACAAATGATCCAATTTGTGCCATTATTGAGATAATTGCATTTTGTCGAAGGAATGTACTTTTACCTCCCATATTAGGCCTTGTTATAAAAACAAATGATCCATCAGTATTTATTTTAAAAAAAATTAATAAAAATCTTTTTACCCCGTTATTAGCAAAAGCCGTTGTTCCTCTCCAACGATGCAATCATTTTTAACAAAATGATCCCCAGGAACCCGTTTACTAAGTTCTACAACTGGGTGTCGTCCTCCAATAATCTTATGGACAGTGCTGTTATACAATAAAAATTATCACCATCATTCCCATAAATATTTTATAAATAAACACGTATTTTTGTTATTTATATCAATACCTATCATTAATAATAGGTCGTACGTATTTCTGTTCTCTAGCTAGTACGGCAAATGATGACGCTATATCCAATTTATCAATTATATCAATGTTTTTTATTATTACTTTTTGTTTATCTTGAATCTATTTGAAAAAATATAATGCATTTATATATATATTATTTGAACAATATGAACTTTACATAAAACATTACTTACTTTATCACAAATTATTTGCAAAATCTTTTTCTCCTCTTCACTTATTTGTGATTTTATATATTTAATTTCTGCTCCAAGATTTGACCATTGCTTATACATATTAAAGATCGATTTAATACACGTTTATATATATATATATATAATATAACTATATTTACCTGTACAATAAACCATTTTTTCGTTCTGAATTGATGAATGCGAGTTGCATTTAATTTTTTTTCAACATCGACTTGACCTATTTTATAATTAGCTGACACAAGAAATCCATAGGTTGGATGACTTTTAAGCTCCAGATTTGTGATGTCTATTGATTTATTAAAATTAAAATTAAAAAAAGTTGTATTAAAAAAATAAATTATCATCTAGAATGGTATATTTATTAAGAATATTTTGATATTAACTCAATTCTTTTTTCCAGGTTCTTTGAAGTTCTATCTTTTCATAATATTTGGCTTCAAGCCGTTTGTGAAGTCTTCGTAACTTTGGAGAAAAACTATATTTTGGTGATTTAACTTAATTATGTCCAAGCAACATATTTATATATTTAATTATATTATAATTAGTACGATTAATCCTTACTCTTTTTTGACAAACCAATTGTCTTCTTTCGTATTAAGCATTAATTCCTGCTCTATTGTATAGGTTGTCGCCACTTTTCTTTTATTTACTTTGGTATTACTAATCTCATCCTGGGCAATGTTATTATTATTCGTGTCTACATTTTCATCAACTGCAAGTCCATTATCCAATATGTTATTATCTTCCAAATTCCTAGATGATTCTTTATAATTATTAAATGCAATCTCGTCTATTGCATTATCAATCGCATTTGCAAGTTCATCTTGTGATTGAAATTGGCTCAACAAATTTTGTAAGCTCTCGTCAGGCTTATATTTCAATTCTCTTTCTAAAATATCTTTAAGATTATTGATTGCTTCAATTGTTTTTTTGATTTTTAGAAAATCTTCAACAGATAATACACGCTGTAAAGCTCGTTGAGATATTCTAATGGCATCGTCACATTCTTGAAGAACTTTACGAATTTCTTCTGTAAGTCCTGTATTCTCATAAAAATATTCTACTAAATCCAATCTGAAATTAATTTCACTTGTTGATATCTCGGGTGCCCCTAATTAAAATAATTTAATATTTTGATTTCAATAATTATAATATAATATATCTTAATTATTTACACACTCACTTAGATATTGATCCAATTTTCTTGCGCCTGACATTGTTTTCGTACGTTTAATTGTGTCAATCAAACTTCCCTTTTTTGATTTATCTTTCATAGTAATCATTATTTCTAATGAATGTAAAGCACTTTCGTCAATAACCATTGTAGAATTTTCATCAACTTTAATTGGATATTGAATATGAGGAATGTTTTCAAAAAGATTTTTACGAACATAAAAAAGTAATGACGAGCTCGCATGTTCTTCTAATATAGAAAACCCTTTTTTCATTTTCATGTCATCATCATATTCCATCTCTTCTTCTTCCGAATTCCAAGGCAATAAATTCTTATCAAAAGGTACTTTTTTTTCAAATGTGATTTTATATTTTTCTCTATCCATATATTTCCAAATAATATGATCATCAGGTTTATAATCATCGTCCAATAAAATTTCACTTGGGTTAATACGTGCCAGATTATTTGAAAGATTTTCTATGGTTGAATGCTGCAAAAAAAATTGTCCCGTGGTGATGTCAATCCATGATAGTCCTATATAATGTGTTTTTCCTTCTAATGAGGTTGAGATGGACAATAAAAAATTATTTTCATCATGTGGTAAAAAACTTTCATCAATTAATGTGCCAGGAGTAATAATACGTGAGACCCTTCGTTTGAACTTTAATTTGTCTTCTTCGTAATTCGTGTTTAAATATTCCTCACATATTGCAACATGGAGTCCATAACCATTAACAAGTACAGAAAGATATCTGTCCAGATGTTGAAGTGGAAAGCCTGCAAATGACATGTAAGTTTGGCTAAATTTTCTTTTTGCCAATTTTATATCCAAAATAGGTGCTATTTGTTCTGCTTGTTCGAAATATAACTTATTGTTATTTATATATATATTTTTTATTATATATACGATTTGCAGCAATAAATTTATTTAATAATCTATAGTGAATGCTAAGTATAGAATGAACACTTACCTCCCAAAACTGACCGACGCGCGTTAATATAATACAATTCGGATACTCTTTTTGTGCAAGCCTTACCGATCTACCAATGGTTGTATCCAATTCAGGGCCAGCCCTTTCTTTTTCAATATATGGTGATATAAGTTTTTTAGTAGGAAGACTAGCAACCTTGATCTTTGAAACAGTTTTCGATCGGGAAATAATCTTAAATTTTGACATGGAAAAGCATTTTGTAAGATCTCCATTGTTACTATTACTGCTACCACCATTAAGAAACTTATTACCAAGTGTATTATTATCTTTATATTTTACTATATAAGATATGTTTAGAGTATAAAATTGTCTGTTAGAGTGTCTAAAACTATTAAATCTAAACTTAAAAGCATGAAATACTTTTATTGTTTGCATATTATATAATCGTTATAAAATAAATCGCGTTACTTGTAAAAAAAAAATTTCACTCGTGTGTGTATAAATAAAACGATTACTTTTATTGGACGGTTAGATTTCAAGGCGCAGCAAACAAGTTTAATATTATATATTTCTATGAAGTTTTTTAGTGTCTTCTTTTTTATTAATTAATAAATAAATTTATATCAATTATCATATTCTCCAATATGAAAGGTTCCTTTTCTAATAATGTCTCGTTGTTTCCTTAACCATTTGCGATAGTCTGTTACCGATTTAATTTTTTCTCCATAATAATCAGGTGCTGGATTTCTAAGTGAATGCAATGATGCATCTGCTCTATTTTTTTTAATATGTTCATAAAAATCCTTATCTTTCTATTTATTCAAATTAACAAAATATATAAATAAACAAATATTATTATTAATTCATAACTACATATATTTGCATTTGTGTTTATATAAAAAATACCTCTTCAATTAATTTAACTTCTTTGGAATGAAACAATTTCCAAATAGAACTTCCAATAATTGGCCCCAATATTAAACTAGACACAGTACATAAAACAGTTCCAATTGCATATATTAAGAGAGGTTCTTGTCCAAATATGAGTGTAGGGTCATATTCTCTCGTGGCAACATACACTAAACTTCCACCTAAAGCCCCGATAGTTGAAGGAATGGCCACTAATCTTTCTGTCAAACGCCTTTTACGTCGAAGTGCAAAATAATCATTCCAACTAAGTTTGTTGTCACCAGTAAATTTTAATTGAGATTTACTAGTATTTTCTTCTTTTTGAAAACATGATGTAAGTGAAAATAATCTAATTTGTTGCTGATGTTGGTGTTGCCATTGATTTTGGTTTTGTTGTATAAATAGTTTTTCATGTTGTTGACACCTAATGGATCTTATAACACTTGGTAAAATAATATTTTGTCTAGTAACAAAATTTGCAAATTTGGACGTCATTGATATAATAATAATATTTATATTATAAAAATAATTTGAAAAAAAAGAAAAAAATAATTTAAGTTTTAAATTTAATAATTTCATATCGTTAAAATTAAACAGATCTAGTGTAACGTGAAGTCTACAACAAAAAAAAAAATATAAAAATCTAAATTTTATTTTATATTAGTCAAAATACAAAATGGCTTTATATAATTTTAAGCGTATTCAGCCGGTCCCCTCAGCTAATGATTTTCTCGATATAGTTCTTTCAAAAACTCAAAGGAAAACTCCAACAGTAATTCACAAGCAGTACAAAATCACTCGTATAAGACAATTCTACATGCGTAAGGTTAAATTTACTCAAGAAAGCTTTGAGGAAAAGTTGAAAAATATGTTGGAAGAATTTCCTAAACTTGATGTAAGTTTACATTTTATTTACATATTTATAAAGTGTAAATAAAATTGTAAGTCATTACTGATTGATTGTTTACAAATTTTTAGGATATTCATCCTTTCTATTCAGATTTGATGAATGTATTATATGATAAAGATCATTATAAATTAGCATTAGGACAAATAAATACTGCTCGTCATCTAATCGACCAAGTTGCAAAAGAATATACTCGTTTATTAAAATTCGGTGATTCTCTTTACAGATGTAAACAATTAAAAAAGGCTGCACTTGGAAGGTTGATACTTTTATTGGTCAATTATTCTTGAAAGATTATTAAATTGTTTTAATTGATTGCTTTCTATAAATATATCCATGAATTTATATATTAACGTTAGAATGGCTACCATAATGAAACGTCAAAAAGATAGCTTAGCGTATCTTGAACAAGTTAGACAACATCTTGCACGCCTTCCTTCAATAGATCCAAATACTCGAACTCTATTGATTTGCGGTTATCCAAATGTTGGAAAATCTAGTTTCATAAATAAAGTAACAAGAGCAGATGTTGATGTCCAACCTTATGCCTTTACAACAAAATCTTTATTTGTTGGGCATATGGACTATAAATATCTTAGATGGCAGGTAATATCCAAGAATTCACATGAATTATAACATATACATTAATCTATACTATATACTATTTAGGTAATTGATACACCTGGCTTATTGGATCGTCCACTTGAACAAATGAATACCATTGAAATGCAATCTGTTACTGCTTTGGCTCATCTTCGTGCATGCATTTTATTTTTCATAGACATTTCCGAACAATGTGGTTATAGTATTACTGATCAAGTTAGTTATTACTTTATTATCATTTGCGTATATATATATACGCACATACATAAAAAAGATATAAATATTAATTATAATATAATATCAATCTAGATCAAATTGTATCATAATATTAAGCCTTTATTTGTTAATAAATCAACATTTATTGTTATAAATAAAGTTGATATAATTCGGCTTGAAAATATATCATCAGAAGAACAATTAATGTTGAAAGAGATTAGCGAGAAAGACGGTGTACAAATTGTACAATTAAGTTGTCATACTGATGAAGGTTTAATGGACGTGAGAAATATGGTATTAAATTTATAAATTATTTTTATGGTTGTTGTTATTATTATAAGTAATAATATATTATTATTATTATTATTATTTATTATTCAAATAAAGGCCTGCGATAAATTATTGGCAGCTCGTGTTGAATATAAATTGAAAGGATCAAAAATTAATGATGTTCTTAACAAAATTCATCTTGCACTTCCTCAAGCTCGTGATGACATTCCACGTCCACCTTTTATACCCGAACAAGTAATTAATAAATTATCACATGTCATAAAAGATCCTAAAAGACGTAAGCTTGAAAAAGATTTAGAGATTGAGAATGGTGGACCCGGTGTATACAATATTGATCTTAAAAGTAATTAAACATATTTTCTTAAATAACTATGATGATAGCATTATTATTGTTATATGAAATAATTGTTTTACGTAATTGGTTATTGTGAATAGAAAAATATTTGCTTAAAAATGATGAATGGAAGCATGATAAAATTCCAGAAATTTTGGATGGTAAAAATATCGCAGATTTTATTGAACCAGATATTGAAGAAAAATTGGATGCATTAGAACGCGAGGAAGAACGATTAATTGCTGAGGGTCATTATGATTCTGAAGAAGAAATGGTATGTTGTGTGGATGTGAAGGAATAATAATTGGAATGATTTTTAACATATAGTTAATAAATGAATATATAGGAGCTCTCAGAAGAGGAGGAAATAAAAAAGGCTGCAGAAGCAATCAAAGAAAAAAAGAAAATGATTATACAAGCTCATAGAGCCAATAAAAAAATGAAAAACAAGCCTAGAATGCCTAGAACAGCTTCCACCAAGGTATCGGGTTGCGATATATATGTGAAAGATAACTCAATCGTTAAGATATCTAATATATTTTTTGTTTTGTAGTCAATTGATGAAATGGAAGAACAATTAGGACAACTTGGTTTAGATACTAGTGCTGTAAGAGCAAGGAGTTTGACAAGAAAACGTAGATTTAGTGAAACTGATGGTGAAGATATTGTTATGCGAGACGCAAGTGTATCAAAAGAACGTTCAAGAAGTATAACACGAGATCGTAGTAACTCAGGAATGTCAAATCCCAGGGTAAAAATGAAAGGAAAAGATGAAACATTGTATTTTATAATAAAAATCATATTAATAAGTTTCATACTAATATCTATTATTGTTGTTATTATTTTTTCAGCAAAAGAAAGAAAGTGAAAAACAAAAGAAAATCTTTCAAAGAAAACCTAATTTAAATGCAAAAGCTAGCGAATCTGATAGAAGAATACAAATCAAAAGACCTAAACATTTATTTAGTTCTAAAAGTAGTATGGGCAAAAGAGATTGGAGATAAGTTGGTTAATATTTATATGAATAAGAGTGCGAGTAAAGCGATTGAACAAACAAACATCTTATTTTGTTTATAATTTATTATTATTATTATTTTGTAATTTTTATTGTCATTTCTTAGAATAAAAATAATTGCAAATTATTAGAGTCATTAAAAAGTCTGATACACGATATTCGTTGCTATGTGAGAGAAAAGTTATATATGCTAAATTTTTATTTGTTTTTAAAGATTTTTTGTATCTAACTTTCCTTTGTGGTGTAAGACTTACAAAGGTGAGAGAGTTGTAGGTGTAAATTTCAACAAATGGTAGCCTCGCTCTCTCAAAAGATTTTGGTAATTAAGATGTTATTTATTTTAAGCCAAAGTTTTATTAATTAAAAAAGGATTTTATGATATTTCATTAACTGTTAGATTTTATTTCTTTTTAATTAGTAATTCGATGCATGGTTCAGAAAACCGAACTTTTATGAATTGAATTTCTATTTTTGATTAATAATATCTTCGGAGGTAAAACAAACCGATACTGATATAATACACTATGGTATGATTGCTGAAATAAATGATACGCATGTTTTCGTATCTTAATTACCAATTCATAAATAGATTATGAGCCAAAAATTCTTCTATAAATAACTGTACTAATGAAAAAATGTAAAAGACAATGATGTATTTTGGTTCTAACAATAAACTTGTTAAATGTGTTTCTGTATATAAATTCCATTTTATTATATTATTTTATTGTTAAAATATATCTATATATAACCCGGTGGGACACAACCATAGTCCCGAAGAGGAAAACTCCACCGCTGAAACTAATGAGTATCAAATGGTATGATCACCATATGAAACTGACCGTTTGGGCCTTTAGGTTAAAAATCTTTTTGCATTAGAAATATTGTGAAACGAAATATCATGCCATCACCCATCCACAGAAATCAGTTGATAATGGAAAATCCATGCATTTTTTACAGATAATAATAAATCAAATAGTATTGATGTTAATGACAATGACAATGACTACATTGAACAAAAAGTCACAACCAGTAAAGTTAATAAAACAAAGATGAATTGTATTAAACAAAACCAAATGACACAAGCAGTAAAAGAAAATTTAAAAGAAAGCTGATAATGATAGCGACTATTGAACCATATGACACAAAAACTACAAACCAAGGTTGATGCTGATTTGTATGAACCAAATGTTACAAAAGCCACAACCAAAAAAAAAGAATTACAGGCAGATAATTGATGAAGACAAAGATTATATTGACCTAATTAGTGGTAACGATGATAATGACGAAGGTTACATTGAACCAAATACATCCAATTGAAATCTGTGGATAATTTACAAACAAATTTTTGTGATTTTAATTATGTTTTTTTAACTGGTTATGGGAAAACTTGACGGTTTTAAAAATATAAAGCGAGAAAAGATTTTTTATGACAAGTATCGACTATCATGCATTGATACATATTAATATATTTCTAGCAAATTTGCAATGTTGAGAAATTTTTATTTGCGTATATTAATGTATAAAGCATACCCGGAACTTTCTTGTCGACTCTATTCACCCGTAAGGAAACATTAAACATAAACCAGTTCTTTAACTTAAAATCGTGCATTGGAGGTCACATCCACTCTATTTGAGGTATAACTGCTATCCTAGAAATTCCACCAGCGATCTCCATTCCTTCTGAATAGGTGGGCGTTTAAACTTGCATTTAGCTTGAAGTCAGTGATTGGAATCGGCTACCTTTTGCCGAAATCGATTATCAAAAAAATTTTTTATTCGTAATCGAAAATTACAACGTGGCATGTGGTGGTACATGGAGTAGAATTTACACGTACAAAAAAATTTTTTTATAAAAATTTTTTGATCTAATCGAACGAAATCTAAATTTTTATTCCGATATTTTTGTTTTATTTTATCCAAATAAAATATTTTACAAAAATGCTTCGTTTAACAAGGTATAATGAAATTTCAACCGCTCCTAAGATTAAATCCGCTTTATGGCGTTCTACGGTACGTATATACATGTTTATATACGATATCTATATACATTTACGTTCGATTAATTGATCAAAAAAATTTCGACACAGAAATCATTAGGTCGCATTGAATTCCATAGATTATATAGCTCTGCAATTAACGGTCCGGTTATAGGTATTGATTTGGGTACAACAAATTCATGTGTTGCAATAATGGAAGGTAAAGCTCCAAAAGTGCTTGAGAATTCAGAAGGTGCAAGAACAACTCCATCGGTGGTGGCAATTTCAAAGGATGGTGAATTATTGGTTGGTCAAGCTGCTAAGCGCCAGGTTAATAATGTTTTAAGAAAAATTAACCTATTGATTGATTTATTACCAAGAATATTTTAATTAATCTTTTTTTCCCCTTTTTTTAAGGCCGTTGTTAATCCAACAAATACAATATATGCCACAAAAAGATTAATAGGGCGTAGTTATAACGATAAATCAGTTCAACATGATGCAAAATCAGTCCCATACAAAATAATAAAACATTCAAATAATGATGCGTGGGTTGAAGCTTCAGGGAAAAAATACTCTCCTTCACAAATTGGTGCTTTTATTCTAAACAAAATGAAAGAAACAGCCGAAGGTTATGTAGGTAAAAAAGTTAGTCATGCTGTCATAACTGTACCAGCTTATTTTAATGATGCACAACGCCAAGCAACAAAGGATGCTGGGAAAATAGCAGGACTTGATGTTTTACGAGTAATCAATGAACCAACAGCTGCTGCACTTTCCTATGGTTTGGATAAAACCGAGGATAAGACGGTGGCAGTTTATGATCTTGGTGGTGGAACTTTTGATATTTCAATTCTTGAAATACAAAATGGAGTCTTTGAAGTCAAGAGTACAAATGGTGATACTGCCCTTGGTGGTGAGGATTTTGATGGTGTATTGGTAAATTATATTATCCAAGAATTTAAAGTAGAACAAGGTGTTGACATCTCAAAAGACAGTTTGGCCATTCAACGTATTAGAGAAGCTGCAGAAAAAGCAAAAATTGAACTTTCATCGACCCTACAAACAGATATCAATCTTCCATATATTACAGCTGATAACAGCGGACCAAAGCATATTAATATTAAATTGACAAGAGCAAAGCTTGAATCATTGGTTAAGAAATATGTTGATCGTACAATTGAGCCTTGTAAAAATGCAATTAAAGATTCTCAGGTTTCTCCAAAAGATATTAATGAAATAATTTTGGTTGGAGGAATGTCACGTATGCCAATGGTATTTGAAACTGTTAAATTAATATTCGGTAAAGAACCAAGCAAAAGTGTCAACCCTGATGAAGCTGTTGCTCTTGGGGCTGCGGTTCAAGGTGGAGTACTTTTGGGAACCGTTAAGGATGTTCTGCTTCTTGATGTTACTCCACTTTCTTTGGGTATCGAAACATTAGGTAATGTTTTTGCGCGATTAATTAATCGTAATACAACAATTCCAACTAAAAAATCTCAAGTATTTTCAACTGCATCTGACGGTCAAACACAAGGTGAAATTTACTATTGTTGTTATTATTATTTGACATGTCAAAATTCTAATATTATAATGATTATTATTATTACCTAGTTGATGTACGTGTTTATCAAGGTGAACGCGATTTCTGTCGTGACAATAAACTCTTAGGGAACTTCCAATTAGATGGTATTCCACCTGCACCTAAAGGTGTACCACAGGTTGAAGTGACATTTGATATTGATGCCGATGGTATTGTGAATGTATCAGCAAAAGATAAGGCTACAGATCGTGATCAATCAATAACTATTGTAGCTTCATCAGGTCTTACCAGCAATGAAATCAACAAGATGATAGATGAGGCTGAAAAGTTTGCTGAATCAGATGCAAAACGTAAAAACGTCATTGAGGCAGCTAATCATGCAGAATCAGCGATTCATGAAACAGAGAAAAATTTAGATCGATTCAAAAATGAAGTGGATGCTGAGGGTGTCACTAAGCTTAAAGAAAAAATAGAGAAATTAAGAGGTGTAGTTGCAAAAGGAGAAGATGCAAATGCTGAAGAAATTAGACAAGAGATGCATGAATTACAGCAACAAAGCATTAAATTGTTTGAAGTATTACATACCAAACAACAATCAACTAGTCAATCACCTTCTGAAGGTAAAGAACCTTCCGATTCACAATCATCATCACCACCACCAGGTTCTTTTTAACTATAAAATAACATAATAGAAGGTAAAACAAACACTAAAAAAACAAATAATTATGTTACATGATATTTATTGTTAAATATATAACACGCATACATTCATTCAATAAGTTAATAAAATAAAATAAATGATTAATTATTATAAAATTTATCAAAGTTAAGTTGGAAATGGTAGACTAATTAATATTCCCAATTTTGCTTTATGTATTATGTGTGAATAATTTTACATACGCCAGATATTTACTAAGACTGAATCAGTGAGTGCTTCGAGGATAGAGGCCTGCACGGGTCATCATAATTGAATGATTATTCAACCCGAACCCGACTTGTACTTGTACACAAAATTTCAACCCGTTTTTTATAACAACGTTGTAACACAATTACAATTGCATCCCCTGGGTAGTACCAAGGCTATGCATGAAATTGAGTGCGGGTTTGTGTTACATTAAATATAGCAAATAATTTATTGCGAGACTATGTGCAGAAAAATCTCGTGCAACTGAATTTAAATACTAAAGTAAAATAAATACTTTTTTTTTGTGATTAATAAATTATTTTCCTGATTATCAATTATTTTTTTTTATGAATAATAAATCTGATGTTAATCACAGGTATCAGATTTAATTAAAATTCCTGCCACAAACATTGCAAATGGGTGCTTCACACCATCTCATCCCCATGGAATTTTTTCCACAGGTCACTGATAGCAGTATATACTTGTGTGATGATTGCTTTGTGTTATCTCGATCTATAGAACAAAGTTGGTGTCCGCAACTGATTCAACTCGGGAGGTTGCAACCTGGGTTGTTGTATTGGATTTTCCTTGAATTCAGAGTTTTGAGCTATGGGTTGCTGTCTTGTCATTGACACACCTACTCACCAACAACCCACCCCATTTAAATACAAATTCAGTTGGTCAAACAAAAATTAAAGAAACAGAAAATGATTAATTTATACATAGCATATCAAACAAAATTTATTTTACAGCTTTCTCCTTGATGCTAATGATCATGATGACTATCACAATGGGAGTGGGCAGAGTTGAACTACCATCATTATACTTGTAAGAACATGCTCTCATTGAGCTACACTCCTTTATTAACCTAGGTTAAGTTGTATAGACAAAGAGCCCATTTAAAAAAATATCAAGTTCAATTGGTCAAATAATAATTAAAGAAACAGAAATTTGGGAAAGTAACTAATATATATAATAACATACAAAAAAAAATCTGAACCATTTTATTTAAAGTCTTCCACCTAACATCAGAGCCTAAATGTGATTTCAGGGCCACCAATCCTGCTCTGAATTGCAATCTCATGTGCTGCAGATTCTTGTTGCTTTAATGGATCTGGATGTTTATGCACACCTAATATTACAACTCTTCGAAACATGACTTGATTGCAGAGCCATCCTTACCCTAAAGGTAGGATCATTGCAGGTGACTTTTTTGCCAGCATTCCAGCAGCCTTCTCTGGTCTGGTGCTGTGAAAGAAGATTAGTGAAAGCATCCTTGGCAGTCTTGGTAAACTCCAGGGCCATGCTACCCGGAATTCTATTGCATTGTTGTATCATTGGGGGCACAAGCCAGATTAACCTTAAGCACATGAGGAACATGAGAGAATGGTTGTAAAGTGTTCAAGGTAGCATGCATGCTTCAACATCTGCTAATTTCTGATAATCAAACATCACATACTTGAATTGTTTCTTCTGCAACAGTCAGTCATACTGCCTTGACTATACATGAAATTGAAATTAAACCCCGAAGTCAAAATGTTTTGACTCGAGGCAGCTACATAGTAAAAATCAGTTTCAACCTTATTTCAACCTATTCCAACCAGATCTGCAAATGGTCAAAATAGTTACGACTTCATGTATATCCTTGACATCTTGTAATTAATTATAATAATAATAATACAAATAATGATTACAAAAAGTGAAATACCAACTATTTGTTTACTAATCAATGGGAATCTTATAATTATCCAGAAAGATCTGCTCTGCATTTTGATTCCAATTAAAATATTTATAAACTAAAAGATATATCGATTTAAGTAAAAAATAGCACTACTGGTTAGTTATTAGCACTTCTCCTTTAGGAGAACCATGTTTTGTCTGTCAAAAAATAAGAATGTTTTTCCAAGAAAAAAAAATCAATTCATGTCTGTCCCAGCATAGTGGAAGTTTTTTGTTACACGAAATGTTATACAGAACCCATTGCTCCTGAAATTTCACTAGTATATAATTGTCACCTCTCTAAATTAGATATCAAGTTCAGGTCCAATTCAAATCCAGTTTATCACTTACTTTTTATTGCCAGAATGTTTGCCTGTATTGTAAAGTTACATTGCACAATATAAAAAATTAGTGTAACATTTCAAATTTCCACTATGTTGTCAAAAAAAAATCTGTGTGCAACACCAAGTACCAATTTTGTTTAACGCGTGTTTTAAATTTTTTTTTTTTTCAAATTAAAAATGTCTTCAAAGAATCAAAGGCGAAAGAAAATCAAGGAGTGGTTGAGGATCAAGGGTAAATGTTTATCATAAGAATAGTGGTTGTTGCCATTCTAATTGTTTAAAAAGAATGGCGGCGGTTGCAATGCATTGCAACTCATCATCATCACTCTAGTTGGTTATCATAAGGATGGTAATGCATTGCAACTCATCATTCTAATTTCCAATTTATTTCTTCAATAGAATTAGAAGCAAATCGCACACTCTTTAGTATATGGTATCTTATCGTTTTGAATTTTTATTTTTATTTTCTCTCTTTTTTCTTATAAAGAATATTTTCAAAGCGTTCAAATTATCCGTATGCAGTGAATTCAATTTAAATTTGAGAAACATTGATCATGAAATAAGAAAGAAGACGATTAATTTATTAAAAATTTTATCAAGGAAATAAAGGATAACAATAATGAAGTAAATTTATAAATTTTTTTTGTTTATCAATTTATTCATATTTTATGTGTATGTATATGTATATTGTATTCATATATGTATACATAATTTAAATAGAATGATTCATTTTATAAATAAATATATTTATTTATAAATACTACTTTCATATATATTTCTTTCGTATTACAGATAAATACCTCATCATCACATTCACCATCACCCCTCATCATAGCCACTGTAACGATTGCTGTAACAACTGATAACTCCCTTCCAACTATATAGATGGGTGTCAAACTAAATTATTTAGACAATGTCTAAAATATAAATTGATTTAGACATTTAGACAATCATGGTCTCAATTGTCTTAAAATGCTGAAATTGAATTTTTTATTGGATAATTTTGTGGATTTTGTGCATATCCACGTGACTTTTAGTTGTGTTTAAACCAAATCATTACTATTTATATTAACTTAGACATTTAGACATTTTTGTCTAAATACTATTTTGACTTTAGACAACCCCAAAAACAATTTAGACGTCCATCTATACTTCCAAAAACACATCATAAATATAATCTCCGAAAAAAAAGTCCATAAACTGTGATATTGATCTATTACCAAAGAAAATAACGTAAGTATAAACTGAAACATTGATATTAATAATGGTAGATATTTAATTTTAATTATATTTATAGGAATCATCACCGTCATCACCGTCATTACCTGAAAAACATGAGGTATAAATAGCATAAAATATAATTATATTAAGATAAAATAATAATTGTTTTTTTTTTATATATAGGAAATGAAATTTGCGAAATATATAATCCATTGCCATAAGAAACTATAATATAATTTTTATATTTCTTTTTGCTCATAAATAAAGTCAATAATTAATATGTAAATATATAATTTTTCATTCAAATCATATTACATTTATAAGATAAACTTAAACAGAATGCCAGTGATGACCAAATTTTGATCCCTGAAATCCTTGGTAATGCAAATGTTCACTTTGTCTGGTTTTGTTGCAGCGTGCTCATATCCCTCTAGGATTGCCAATTAATTTCTAAATGTGCCTAGCCTAAACCAGCCCACCAATAAAATTAGCATTTACATATCTAAACTCGATAAGTCAGACGCAGCAATCAATTGTTTAAAGTACTTTATAATATAAATAAATGTCCGACTTATCGAGTTTAGATGTGTATTTAAATTCGGGTCAAATTCGGGACATAATTGTTATAAATTACAACCCGAATCCGACCCAAAGTTATTGATGTTAAAACCAAACCCCCAACCTGATGCAGGCCTCTATTCGAGAACCAACAATTAATGAAAGTTGTTTGTTTATTTGCTAAAATATGATTTTTAAGGAATGAAAATAATGGTTTTTATTTTTCTAAATAAAGAAAGATCTTCACTTACATAAATTGTTATTATTATTATTAATTTAAAAATTCTATTTTTTTATTATGATTGAATAAAATAATTTTGAATTGTTTAAAACTTCACATTATAATTTTTTGTTTTATGAATTTGATGAACCTGGCGAACCTGGCGAACCTGGCGAATCTGATGAACCTGATGGACCTGATGATGATGAACTGGATGAGTCCCCTCCACCTTCTGATGACGATGAACTATTATTTCTAGTGTGCAATGGTTCAAACAATTTAATGCTGTCTTGTTGTAATTCATACATTTCTTGTCTAATTTCTTCAGCATTTGCATCTTCTCCTTTTGCAACTACACCTCTTAATTTCTCTATTTTTTCTTTAAGCTTAGTGACACCCTCAGCATCCACTTCATTTTTGAATCGATCTAAATTTTTCTCTGTTTCATGAATCGCTGATTCTGCATGATTAGCTGCCTCAATAACATCTTTACGTTTTGCATCTGATTCAGCAAACTTTTCAGCCTCATCTATCATCTTGTTGATTTCATTACTGGTTAGACCTGATGATGCTACAATTGTTATAGATTGATCACGATTAGTAGCTTTGTCTTGGGCTGAAACATTGACGATACCATCTGCATTAATGTCAAAGGACACCTCAATTTGTGGTACTCCTTTTGGAGCTGGCGGGATTCCATCTAATTGGAAGTTACCCAACAATTTATTGTCACGGCATAATTCACGTTCGCCCTGATAAACACGTACATCGACTACAAAAATAATAAAAAATCATTATAAAATTATTATTTTTAATATGAATATTATATTATCACTTATGTAATACCTTGTGTTTGACCATCAGATGCGGTTGAAAATACTTGAGATTTTTTAGCAGGAATGGTTGTGTTACGATTAATCAATCTAGCGAAAACTCCTCCAAGTGTTTCGATACCCAAAGAAAGTGGCGTGACATCAAGAAGGAGAATATCGGTTATTTTTCCAGAAAGCACACCACCTTGAATTGCTGCTCCAAGAGCAACAGCTTCATCAGGGTTGACACTTTTGCTTGGTTCTTTACCGAATATTAATTTAACAGTTTCAAATAC